TGTGAGACACACCTGCTCCAGTTAGACCCATGCCATGGGATACATCCAGTTAAGCTAGACACGTTTGAACAGCGAACATGAGACATATCCTCTTCCACGAGACCCAACCCATGCAGTGAGGCACCTCACTTCCACGACACACAGCTCCTTCTGTCAGATATGCCACATCAGTGATGTGCACACAGATTTCACTGTGCTCTGAAAGGCGTCAGGGGCTCACTATCGACACCGATTTCTCTGTGTTTATCTCAGACTTGTTTCACTACACTTTCTTGGCCCTGAGTGCTATTTTTTTTCTTGGGGGATGAGTCCTGTCCTCTGTCTCTAGACCACCTAAGACAGCAGTCCACAAGGCCCATCTAACCTCTGGTTTCTAGCAGCTCATTGATTGGAGGATCTCCTCTAACACGGACACCATGAAAACGAAGAGGATGGAGGCTTACACAGTGAAGTCCAGAGCTTCGTGGGTGTTGGTGAGAGATTTCATGTGGCCCGCGTCCTTCAGCAGCCCTGCAAGGTTCTTGCGCTGCTGGTACTGTTCAAAGGTGAACTCCGTCCGGAACGTTGTGGAGAACTGCACCGCAGCGAACTGGAGGGCAGTGACACAGAGAGAAATGTCAAGGAACGCACAATGAATACAGACAGACGCGTCTACGAGCCGGCGAGCTCCTGGACGCCACGGCGAAACACAACAGGTACGGTCTTGCGGTCCCTTCACATCATCCTGAGACCCGGAAGCAGACAGACCCAGAGTCCGCGAGCGACTGCAGACCAGCTGACTGTAAAGTTCGGTCCGGGGTGCTAGAAGGCGGGACACACACATATCTACCTATCCGATGCCTTCTGAAGAGACATTACTTCCCACGTTCCCATGTTTGTGTCCAATGCCTGTAAATACGCCAGTGCCACGACTGAACGCTAGCTGGACAAAGCAGCTTTCGGTGACTTAATAAAGGGAAAAGGTGCAGTTAGTCAGCAGGACTCTCCCAACCCCCAGTGTTGTGTCACTGCTGTCACGATTGTAGCCCTCCCCCTTAAGGGCGCTCCGGCTCTTTCCCGTCTGACCTGATTTTGTGCACCACTACGCTACACTTGATCTTAACCAAAATCTCGCCTCCTTCCAG